CACACACACACACACAGTAATAGACACAAAACACTGCACTCAGCTGATGGCTGGGTGATCTAATGGAGCCTTCATGAGGACCAAATAGGTCTCTCATAGGTGTCCATATCCACTGCACACTAAGTGCCACAGGAATACACACAGAGCGGGAATACATCCTACCTAACTACCAAAAAAACAAACAAACAAAAAAAAAAAAAAACATACTATAATCATGTGTATAAAACTTGATAAAGACAGTGATTGAATAATAAAATAAGTTTTAAAATGATCTTGTTGATTTTTTTTAGTAAACTGGTATAGTGATCTGAATGCAAATATTATACACAAATACAAAAAATGCACAAAATTAGACAACAATACGGAAACTCCACCTTTTCTTTCTGAAAGCACACAGACTGAGTCCCATGATAGAAACTCTGTGCTAAGAGTACAAAAGTCTCCTAAACCATAACACACATGACAGCCTGCAACCTAACTTCTCAGAAAGTAGTCCTGAGTATCAATTTTTACTCATTCTCTCTGTGTGGGTCTCTCTCCCACCTCCTCCAGTTGCTGTATAATCTCTATGGATTAGGATGGTTTATTCATGACCATAGTGTACTCTGTATATATGTGTGTGTGTGTGTGCTCTGGGCAGGCCACTAGAGTGTGACAGCAGGCCAGCACAGTGACAGGAGACACCTTGGAGACTGTGACAGGCTGCCAGCTGTACACCATCATTCGCATTTCTTTCTCTCACTCACTTCTCCTCACTATGCTACTCATCTATCTCCACGTACATCTCTTCATCTGCTTTCCTCCATCTGTATTCACTCCATTCATATCCTACCTGTCTTTTTGTTTTTCTTCTCCACAGCTCTGCCCTGTGCTTTCTCGGCGGCAGTCAACGGGATTTAAATAATTGAACGTTTTTCATACTTTATTTCTTTGCCTATTTCCTTTTCTGTCTAAGTCAATGTATGAGTCTTTCTATCTCTGCCGCTGCTTATTCCCTCCTTTTCTTTTCTCTCACCTTCACTTTGTATTTTGTCTCCTGGCTGTGACGTCAGTTGCCCCTTGTCTGACCCATTTGGTCTATATAACCTGGCCCAGCAGGAGCTGATCTCTAAATCCTATCTCCTATCTTTTACTCTCCTATTCTCATCGCTCCATCCCACCATTCAGTGACCTCTTGAACCCCAGAGGGAGGGAATTATCTCTGTCCGAGGAGAACAGAGCAGTGCACTGCTGGGGTGTGCCGACCTCACATGCACCCACTCATACGGGCACCCATATTTATACACACCCAGGGCATTATTCAGGTTCACTGCTAGCTCTCCCCTGTGATGCGCAGTACCTTCGGGGCTGCTCTCCCTGTGTGTGAGTGGTGTATGCACATACCTTAGTGTGCAATGTAAGTGTTGTTTATGTTCGAGATCCCGCTGCGTATGCGTTATTGATATAGATGTCCTTCAACAATGAGCATTATAATCATCTACTGTCAGGGTCTATGTGTGCTCATATGTGTGTATGTTTTGCACTGCTTCAACAAGTGCATGCACTTGTGTGAATGTGTGATCATTCAAAGCCAAACATGAGGAAACTGAGCCAATGATACAAACCTCTAGATCAGCCGAGAGCCATGGGATTAGCATATTGGGTGGAAAACAAAGGGATTGTGACCTTTTGGTGGAACTGCTTCACATACGCAGCACTGGTTTCTAATGTAAATGCCTGGAACAGATTAGATTTTGGATTCACCTCAATCCTCATCCTGACCCGGGGCTTGTTAACTAGCACCACCATCCATGCCCAGAAGCCAGTGATGAAATACTGAATTTGAGTAACAAAATTTATGTTATTAATTTAGAATTGTCAGACATTATTTGGTTAGTTATACCCTCAATATCAATCAGATTTTATCTAAAAGAAAATATGGCCATTTCACCACTTAGCACTGACCTATGGTATTTATCATTAAAAGTTGTCTTCATCTACACAACAACTCGTAGATGAAATACAAAATACAAAATACAAAATTAGCAGCGACAATAAATAGTCAAAACGCGTAACACTGTGAGAACCCATTCTTCTATCAGATGACAAAAACAATAGACATCAGCACTGTTTGCTTTCCTGATAGATCAATTAAATGAAAAGATAAAACACATTTTGTTACCTTTTGTTGCTGTTAAATAAAAATGATGAGCATAAACATTGCTTTGAAATTAGCAACAAGTAATGAGTACTCTTATAGAATAATGGGCCCAAAACAGTGAGAATGAAGTATTAAAAGAAAAGAGGCAGAAAAAAGATGATGTACACACTTCGTCCAAATTTGCTTTTTTTGTTGTATCATTGAGAAGGACACTGCATAGGTGTGCCAATGTTTCCCTCAAGAAAAAATCCCTAATTAGTTAGGCTCTTCTCTTAATTCAGCCAAAAAAGGACCGTGGGTTAATGAGTACGAGAGAGAGTGGATCCTTGCCTGTCCCCTTCCTCCGGCCGGACAAAGAAGGTTATTTCAGATTTATTGTTCTGGGTAATCATCACAAATAGAAAATCACTTAACATTCCAATTATGCTGTGTCCCGAACATCCCTTAGATGAATCAAAAATAGGAAATGCCAGACAAGGAGAAGGGGGCCAGTGCAACCTTGAATCCCCACCACTCAAACTAGCATACATACACATTCAAAGATAACTAACACACGCTTAAGCACACAAACCAAACACACACGCAAAATGGGAGATGACAGAAATAGCAAAAACAAAAGGCAAGGGATATAAAAGAGGATGTAATACACATAAAGGTGTGCTGTGTGTGTGTGTGTGACATTTGCATCTCTGGCTCTCAAGCAGCTCTGGTCTTGGATGGTCCTCATCTGTATGTGCATACTGAGTGAGCCCAGGTGCTGCGTATGGCGCAGAGGTCACACCAGAAAGGGCAAGTGCTAAAATGAAGCTAACACAAATGCACATGTGCACGTGCATTCTATCTCACACGCTTCCCACCAGCGCATACCGTATAAACACATGCATGCATGCATGCATGCCCGGCCACATACACGCGCACCTTCGAGGGTTAACTGTCTTAGTTATTCATTTACATGCACCTAGGAAGAAAAAGTGGGGGCTGATTTAAAAAAAAAAAAGACAGAGAGGAAAAACATGCAAACAATGGTTCTCTATGACTTCTAAGGCTAGCTGTTGGTCAGGGGTACCTGTGTAGGTCAGCGGGGTTGTGCAGGGAGAAATTAAAGAAGCGAAATCTGAGAGACCTCAGCTCACCGCTTGGAGAATTTACATGATGTGTTGGGAGCTCAGAAATGGACCCCTGTATAGTTTGCAGAGCCTTTACTTGCCTTCAGTATGTGTCTGTGTATTTGAGAGTGTGTGGTTATTTCACCTGCTGCATCCAGTCCTGTGTGCCTTTGCTGGTCTCCTGTAGCCAGATGTTGTGAGCCGAGTCAGTCAGAGCCACAGCGCACACTCTGTTCTTCACCTGCATTTCCCTCTGATTCATCTGCCACAAAAAGCAAATCAAATTTGTGTTAGTCACCCTTGCCGCATGTTGATAACACAGTCACTATTTGTTTCAGACAACAATTGAACAACAAAGAGATCTTACGCTGTAAGAAATACATGCTCTTTAGAAAATATTTTTTATTGCATAGATGTAAATCAAATTATTTTAATATCACATACTCATTGCGTTGGTAGGTACTTGCTTAATAAAAATGTTATTCCCTGTCCAACATGTCAGCCTAGTTCTCGGACCATGAGAGCAATGGCCCAGTGGACAGCTTTGTAACCAGCGGGTATAGATTAAACCTGGTGTATAGCATAATGTTATAAAGTGAAATATGAAAGAGCTGCTTCACTGTAGCGTGTCCTTGTCACGTTCTGTGCAAATGTCCTTCCCTGTGCACGTTCAAACACCTCGGTCCCCATTCTTAATACCCTTTCCCTTCACATGTCACAGAGAATGTGGCGTCCACAGACCCGTCTTCCTATTCCCTTCTGAATGTCAACGGCGGGGAAAATGTCACACAAAGAACTTGTTACCGCACTACAATAGACTTCCCACACCGCTGGTCCCACCCCAAGGAGTACTGCAGCCAGGCCTTGGGAACGAGCCGTTTCACTCTGCTTTGCTTTAAGATAAAACGGGAAGAAAAGGGAACAGGACTTGCAACAATAGGTTAACAATCACTTATGGTATGCGTTTAGTGAAGCTGGGAGAGAGACTGTTGGACTGGGGATGGGCATAGCACTGCAGAATAGCACAAGTTTGATGACTGCTTGGTCATCTACACATGGTGCAAAGACCGTACAGACCACATGTTTAACTACATTAAAGTTTTATTGTAAGTGTCGTCTAGAGGAAGGAAAAACTTGGCGGTGCGCTGGACTACTGGAATTCTGTTGGGGCTTCTATTAAAATAGTGACCGTGTTTATAGCTTGGTGCCTGAGAATAAGACTAGCACTTCAAGTAGGAGATCCAGGTAATGTTAAAGCTAAGGCAGGGATTGGAATATCAGGGCTTAGTTGGTGCTTACATGTAAGAATAGGATAAATATTGGCTGATAAAAGCCCAAGTGTCATACAACAAAATAGGACTGAGGCTTGAGTACAAAGCTACAGTTTGGACGGGCATAGATGGTTTAGTCTTTCGCTACAATATGAATCTGACTCTGACACCCTGATTGGGGCTAGGGCTGGAGCAATCACCCATCTTATACACATTCATAGACATGTAACACCGGTCATCTACAGCCAACCAGAGTTGGCTGGCTGGCTGGCTGTACATCAAAATGACTGCGGGCATTTGAATACATCCTCCCTCACCCAGCCAAATTAAAGTGGGAGTGTATAGAGATAAATGGAATCTATTAAGGCCCTAAGGACTCATACATCATATAGCTGATAAGGCTTCTACTGGAGTGTCTTCACCAGGGTGGAGGATAGAGCAGGCTGAGAGGGGAGGTACAACCATAAGCATATAAAAATATACAACTGTGGAGATAGAGAACAAAAGAAGACAGACAGTGCACATGTATACAGACACATTCGCTCGCTCGACAAAATCATACAATCACATACACACACAGATATACACACTCCTCTCTGTACTCCACCCTCATCCACGCTTGGTTGAAAAGCTTTCCTCTGGCAGAACTGGGCCCGTGGGACCAGCAAAGTCAACCTTTTAAAACTGGAGGTGTCAGTCAAGGTCCTGTTTTCTGGCACTAGCCAAACGGGCCAGTCCCTGAGTATAGGGGCTGCTAGCAGAGGCCAGGAAACAGGAGGCAGTGGACTGACTGCCCATGGAAAACACTAAGCACATGACTTCAAACCAGTCAAAAACATCGCCTAAGTCTGGGCTGAAATTCTTTTTTCCACTTTCCAAGTGGATAAATAGGTCTCTGCTTGCTCCTATTGTATGCCCCTTCTGAGTTTAACATTTTGTATTTCGAATGGAAAATGTACTTAACATGGTTCAGGTTCACTGAATATCACTGCTATATTAAAACTGTAACTTAGCTCTAATAATTTTAGTAACTGGTGCCAAAGTAAACTGTATTTGCCAACCTGTAATTAATGACAGGTTGTTTAAGTTTCTTTTTCTAAAATCTTTTTTGGCATGTCACTTTCAGTAGTACTTAAGAGTTAACAAAGGATATGCAGATAGATGGAAGCAAGAGATAGAATAAGAATACTAATAAAGACAACCAGACGAAGTGTGTGTGTGCATGCCTGCATGTATGTGGGTACATGCATGAATGTATGCATATGGATGTAGGAATGAATGTGAGCAGAAATGAGAGCACTGCTCAAAAGAGGGGCAGTTTGGTGGAGAAACAACTGAATGACTGACAGTAGTTAGACAAAGATAAAGGTTTGTACAAAGAAAAAGGCACAGCTGGTAAGGTGGGAGTGGAGCTGGGTTGTAGATGGTGCTAGATGGATAAGTCTGGAGCTTAAACACTGGACAGTATTTGAAGTATTTAGACAGTGCATGAATAATCTTGCATAGACAGACTGTCTCATCAAGCCAACAGATGAAAATGTTTT